TTATTGATCAGTTATAAATAACATCGAATATACAATAAGATCTGAAATCAACACCGTGTTATCAATAAAATCCAGTTTGGTGTTGAAAACGTCAGGGGCAATCTTAAAATTATTACCCTCGCGAAGTTATAGGCTTTAAATCCCCATTAACCCAGTACAGCACATTATACTAGTGTAATAGTACGGTATTCACTGTGTGAACATCTCATTTGTGTGTGCACTAAGAGAAACAGTGCATGTGCACACGGAGGAGTATATCTCAGTGTATATTTACACTTTATAGAGTTTAATCCCAATTCAGTGTGGGTCATCATGTGAACCCGCGTCAGGAAACGCTTGTCCTGTTTCCTGACAAACCTTACCTAACATATCCCAGTTCACTCATATTTGAGATTGAAGTACTGAAGGTTAGTTAGTGCTGCCTTAACACTGGTATGTTGATAGGTTATATCCTTCATGAACCATGCTGTGTTGGAGAAATAACAGGTTAGCCCTAGGGGTTGATCTCCCTCTCACTTAGGATTCAGTACCGTAAAGTGAATGATAATGGTGGGTGTGTGACCTGGCTGGAGTAGGTCAGCTACTGAACGTGTCACCAGCCCATTAGCACCCAACTCAGGAGATGTTGTTGTTTCCTGGCGAGTAAAACAAAGAGACCATCACCACCACCGCTACTAACACCACACACACCATTTATGCTGTGATCCTAGGACACTCTTTGCAATTTTTAAGTGGAAATTCCACCATAAGTTTGTAGGATGTGATCTGTAATTTTTGGTGGATGGGAGAGCCGGTGGAAGGCTTTGAGCCAGAGGCTCAATATTCCTTCTGAAGATGGTAGACCACAAATTTAAGGTTATAGACAGATAGCATATTATAGATCAGCGTGAAAGAACAGAAAATCTGGAAGTAATATTATTGTTACTGAGTGGAACTTCAAGGAGATAAAGGTGTAGAAATACACTCGGGTATGGATGTTACACTTGTATCAGCAGAGTCGTGAGGGGAAAGGCCCAGCCTACACTACCCTTGCCTGTGGGTCTATGAGGCAACTGAAAGGGATTATTATTATAATCAAAAAGAAGCGCTAAGCCACAAGGACTATACAGCAACTGAAAGGGAGACCTCTGGGTCCACGCTCACACGTGTTACTACGTGACGTCACACTGAGCCTAGCTACAGGGAGCCTATTTATTTATTTATTTATTTATTTATTTCCAATTTGAGCACACATACAGAGGTACAAAAAAATACAGATAAGAGCAGTATGCCAAAGCCACTTATACTATGCATAGCATTACGGGCTGGCTTAAATATATAATATATAAATATATAATATATAAATATATAATATAATATATAGATGGTACGAACTAGGATATGCTACACAAACATATACATACTTTTTCAGTTGCAGTACTGACATTGTTATCATCAGTAAAATATATTAAATGAAATAGCGAAACTTAATACGAAGGGTAAATTATTATTATTATTATTAATAGTAGCAGTACAGTAGTATTTTTATTATTTTATGGGAAGCGCTAAACCTGTTAGGGTAATTCATTTCGGGGAGTGGTGGAGGATCGATCCTCCGTCCGGGTCTCTCACAGTAAGCTGAGAGGTGTGTATCTCTTCGTGTGTATACATACTGAGAGGTATATTTCTCCGTGTATATACAGAGAGGTGTGCATCTCCAGTGTATTGTATATACACACTGACAGATGTATTTCTAATAGGCTCACCGGTGTTGTCCGGGCCCAGGTATTCAGATACTGCTAGTGTATATACACTGAGAAGTGTGTACTGCTAGTGTATATACACTGAGAAGTGTGTACTGCTAGTGTATGTACACTGATAAGTGTGTACTGCTAGTGTATATACACTGAGAAGTGTGTACTGCTAGTGAATATACACTGAGAAGTGTGTACTGCTAGTGTATATACACTGAGAAGTGTGTACTGCTAGTGTATATACACAGAGAAGTGTGTACTGCTAGTGTATATACACTGAGAAGTGTGTACTGCTAGTGTATATACACTGAGAAGTGTGTACTGCTAGTGTATATACACAGAGAAGTGTGTACTGCTAGTGTGTATACACTGAGAAGTGTGTACTGCTAGTGTATATACACTGAGAAGTGTGTACTGCTAATGTATATACACTGAGAAGTGTGTACTGCTAGTGTATATACACTGAGAAGTGTGTACTGCTAGTGTATATACACTGAGAAGTGTGGACTGCTAGTGTATATACATAGGTGTGTCTCTCAGTGTATATACACCGGTAGGTGTTTATCTGGAGTTTATCTGGAGAGAGTTCCGGGGGTCAACGCCCCCGCGGCCCGGTCTGTGACCAGGCCTCCTTAGGTCAGTGTCCCAGGATGCGACCCACACCAGCCGACTAACACCCAGGTACCCATTTTACTGATGGGGAACATAGACAACAGGTGGAAAGAAACACGTCCAATGTTTCTACTCTGGCTGAGAATCGAACCCAGGCCCTCACCGTGTGAAGCGAGAGCGTTAGCCACCAGGCCACCAGAGCCTGTGTGTATCCCAGCGTAAATAATACACCGAGATGTGTTAGTTAATGGGGTTTAAAGTCTATCGGCTACACGATGGTCATTGTCACCACCAAGAAAGAATATTTTAATCCCTAAAAATTGGGATTAAAGTCAACTCATTATATATACACTGAGAGAAATAAACCCTTATGGTACATATCCTGCGAGAGGTATCTCCCGGTATATATACATGACGAGAGGTATATATCTCCCCTGGGATATAAACCCGGAAGTGTATATCTGAATATACACCGAAAGGTGTACATCTGCCTGTGTATATAAACCGAGTGTATATCGGTGTATAATACACCGAGATGTATATTTCAGTGTATACACACCGAGTTTACTGTTATCCACATTATAGTGACCCTCGTTTAGTCAGTAGCTTTAAGCCTAGTAAATTAAACTTTCAAAATAGGTAATACACGATTAGTGAAAATCGTGAACAATAGATGCAAGATGAAATACAGCCACCAGGGAGTTGAATAACAACTCTAGCCCTCTCGTGTTGCAATTAACACATTTCTGCAACACTGCAAGCTCCTGATGTGTTGATTGCAACACGAAAGGCCTCGAGCTATCATTCAACTCCCCCTGTGGTTGTTTTACACGGATAGTGAAATGCTACATACAAAAAAATTAATCACCATAAAATCCTACATCAAACCATCACGCTAAAGCATAAAAAAAAAAATAGGCTAATGACTACGCTTCCACCCTAAAAATTAACTCCGAAATCTAATAAAATGTCTATCGATAGTCTTTGTAATAGTCTTGCCTGTTTGATGTTGGTCTACACGAAGCTGTAATTAATATTCAAGAGTAATCTTCATTCTCTAGCCTGGCTGTAACTTTTGTAACGAGGCAATTTCAGGAGCAAGTTGGCGAGTCTGAACAATTACGGTGGTTGGCAACCGCTGCAGGCGCGTCCTCTGATTGGTCCCCCAGGAGGTACCTTCATCCTGATTGGTTAATCCTGGGTTAACCAGCGCTGTTGCCACATGGAGCATCATTATATATTATATTATTATTATTATTATTATTATTATTATTATTATTATTATTATTATTATTATTATTATTATTATTATTATTATTATTATTATTATTACTGGTACTGGTATTAATATTATTATGTCAAAATTTACATATACGTATTCTTGGAGCGATTTAAATTTTGCAAAAATCAAATTTCTATATATCGTAAAACACGAGTTTGTTTAAAAAAAATCATTAGTACTACTACTACTATGTTTAGTATATTTTACAAGTATTTTTTACTAACTAGTAATATCAGTGTAATATGCTCCTTTTTCCCTACTGTTGTTTCTGTTACTCTCATTTCTGTTGACTCATGAAATCGCAATAACGGGATTGGAAATTTGCCAGGGAACTGGTGGGGTTTGAATCTGCGTCGAGTTTTACGACTCACTCTCCATGGGTTCAAACCACGCCCGTTCCGTGGTTTACGACTCGCTCTCCATGGGTTCGTACCACGCCCGTTCCGTGGTTTCTTATTTCTGTTGTTTCTTCCCTCTCATTAGTGTTGCTTCTGTGATTACTGTTAGTTGTTGCAGTTTTTCCTCACATTACCGTTGTGTCTGTTGCTGTCAGTGTAGAGTAATACACTGCACGATGGTCACTGTAACTCACTGTTCTGTTACACTTCACCTCACAAGACATTCATAACATCATTCGTCAAGACGCCTCACTGTAAATCAGGTATTCAGCCTCGGTGAACACGTCTCCGCTTCTGATTTACACACTGATTGACCTCCTGCCTGCCTGCCGCCCCAGCTTTACGTTCTCTCAGATAAAAAGGGGTGGACCGGTAAGCCAGCGGAAGGCCTCGGTCAGATGACCAAAAACTCCGGCTGTGGGTCATCATATGACTAAGATCCGCGTCAGGAAATACTAGTCCTGTTTCCTGACAAACCTTACCTAACCTAAGCTACAAAGACATTATTCCAAATAGATTGGGCTGTCACCTTGACGCTGACTCCTATCAGCCAGAATAACTCTCAAAGAACTTAGCGCAACGCTTGTCAACAACCGATGGACTTATTGACAGCATATTATATTTACGAAACTATGGGTTAAAATTACGTATCTTAGATAAACGAAGTACCAAGTGCTGAATGTTCGTCTCACTCAGGTAATCTTAGTATAACTCGTATGTTTTAGTTACCATCGTCCTTCAGTGGCGCCATTCTTTCCCCGCCCGGAACGGTGTCAACCTTTTTGGTTTCTCTGAATCAGTAATCCTGACATTCACGTATCCTCAGGCAAGAATCAGTTGCTGACACATTCTGTTTCCTCGGGTTACTGACGCATTTTCTTGGGTTTACCGTGTTCTACTGACTTGCTTCCACTCTGAGGTCAGCGTTGATTTTCCTTTACCACAGTTACTGATCTTCCTCTTTTTTTCCAGCAGACGTGACGCCGTGTGGAAGCCCAACACACGCCTGCTGCCTCGAAACCCGGTTGGACGCCAACTGTCAAAGCTCCAAGAACCGCTCGTACTCCACCACTGCGCTCTACCAGGACGGGGCTAAGCGGCCCAATGTTCGCGAGCGTCAGACGGTGTGTTCCCTGCACCCTCTGGGAGACTACGATGTTAATCACTTGGACCGTGTGGCTCGGGGGCTCCACGATGCCCACAAGTCCGGGGCATACTCGGACCGTCTCACGCGGCTCCAGAAACTTCCCAACCAACACGTCTGCGAGGGCCTCTGCGATGATTGCAGCCGCACGCAGAACGACACCACGGATGGACTCTGCCATCAACAGCAGGACCATATGGACTCTGAACTCTGTGAGTGCAAATGTAGTGAGAATGCTCGCGTTCACGCCAGTGAGTGCAAGTGTAGTGAGAATGCTCGCGTCCACGCCTTGACCACTAAACAGACAGAAACCAGAAGTGACGATGCTCATTCTCCGGCAACCAATACCAGTGTAGCGCAACACAGACATGGACTGAGGGTGGCCACCTCGGACTACGAAAGCTCTGACTCGCCCAGCTCAATAGAGACGAGCGAGGAGGCTCTAGCAGTTGGCCGAGTGAGATTAGCGGCCGCGGCCGAGGTGGCCGATGCAGTGGTCGAGGAGCAAGAGGAAGAAGAAAAGATAGAGAAGGAAGAAGAAAAAATAATCACGACGTCTCAGGTCCCAGCGAAAGAGGTAAGGTACATCATTCGGCGTATGGTTCTAAAGACTCTCAAATACTTCTTTTATATATATATATATATATATATATATATATATATATATATATATATATATATATATATATATATATATATATATATATATATATATATATATATATATATATATATATATATATATATATATAGCAAAACAACCACTTTGAAAGAATAGAGAAATTCCAAGCGCTTTCGTGACTACTCACATTATCAAGGAACTATGTTCCTTGATAATGTGAGTAGTCACGAAAGCGCTTGGAATTTCTCTATTCTTTCAAAGTGGTTGTTTTGCATATTCTGAAATCACCTGCTTACTGTGATCTTATTGCATATATATATATATATATATATATATATATATATATATATATATATATATATATATATATATATATATATATATATATATATATATATAATATATATATATATATATGAACATTAAAATGGTATAAAATACCGACAGGTTGTTAGGTAAGACACATATGCAACAGTTAGGTATCTTTATTTCGAAACGTTTCGCCTACACCGTAGGCTTCTTCAGTCGAGTACAGAAAAGTTGATAGAAGCAGAAGATACTTGAAGACGATGAAATCAGTCCATCACCCTTAAAGTTTTGAGGTGGTCAGTCCCTCAGATACCTAACTGTTGCATATATATATATATATATATATATATATATATATATATATATATATATATATATATATATATATATATATATATATATATATATATATATATATATATATATATATATATATATATATTTATATATATATATATGCTCAGTAATAACCCGCAGGGAGACAGAAATTCAGAAGATTAATTGGTCTAAATATTTCGACCCCCTGCTGGGGTCCTCGTCAGCAGATACACAAATGAAAGAAGAACATAAATTTATAGGAAGGTTACTACGCCTCTCCAACGTACAGGTGAGCGTGGAGCTTCAGGTCAGTGCGTGGGAAGACAGGTCAAGGAGTGAGTATGATGAAAGGTCTTGGAGTTACGCAAGACACACAGGGAAGTTACACAAGACTCACCAGGAGTCTACCAGACACCATGCAAAGATTCCAACCAAGTATACATCGGACAGACTGGCCGAACACTGTCTCCGAGAATCATCGAATACCAGAGTGCGATACGTTATGCAGAGGAGAATTCAGCCGTTTTCCAACAAGCTAGCAACAGCAGTCACAGTATTTATTGGGAAGTTGCCGCCATCAGACACAAATCACACTGCAGCTACAAACGCAAAATTCTAAAAATTGCCCTCATAACTACCATCCCTAATTTTAACATCTCACAGCCACAATGGAAACCAGACATCGCTTGAAAATTCGACCTCAATAAGTACATGCCAGCAACCAACCTAATACAAAACGCCAGCACAAAATCAGGAATTACATAACATAGACGAACTTCCTACCCAAATTTTAAGGTTTACTTCAAGACCTGTCGTCACACTCGCTCCCTGACCTGTCTTCCCAAGCACTGACCTGTCTTCCCAAGCACTGACCTGACGCACCACGCTCACCAGCACATTTGAGAGGCGCAACCTTCCAATAAATTTAAGTTTTCCTTTCATTTGTGTATCAGCTGAAGAGGACCCCAGCAGAAGGGCCGAAATATACAAACCAATTAATCTCCAGTTTGTCTCCATATGGGTTATTATTGAACATTGACAAGTGTTTATTATACTTTCCTTAGTTATTCATATATATATATATATATATATATATATATATATATATATATATATATATATATATATATATATATATATATATATATATATATATATATGCAAAACAATCACTGTGAAAGAATATTGAAATTCCAAATGCTTTCGTGACTTCTCACATTATCATAGTTCTTTGATAATGTGAGAAGTCACGAAAGCGCTTGGAATTTCACTATTCTTTCACAATGATTGTTTTGCATATATATATATATATATATATATATATATATATATATATATATATATATATAATATATATATATATATGTCGTGGACGAATAGGTAAAACTGGTCAGTTAGCAAGAACTCGATTAAAATTAAGTCCTTTCTAAAATTTTCTCTTGTACGTTTAAAGATATAATTTCTTTTCATTTTTGTTAATGTAAAAATTAATAATTTTGTACCAAAAGAACCTTAGAAAACTTACCTAACCATATTATAACAAGCGCAGTTTAATTTAGCCTAATCCAACTAAATATACTTTAGATAGTTTACAGTAATTTAATAATAAACAAACACAATGAAATATATTTTTTCGTTAGGTTCAGAGTGATTTTTGCGAAATTATTGCATACATAAATTTTTTTGCTTGCATTATTCGGTAAGAAGACCGTTGCTATTTAAGCCAAAAATCACAAGTTTTACCTATTCGGCACGACATATATATTGCCCTGAACACTACAGCTTCCCTACCCGGAGTACACTTGTCTCTGAGGTACACTGTTACGTGTCCAGGAGACCTGGCTGACACCACTCACATACTGCTGTATAAAAAGACCCTTTTTATGCAGAGCATTTCGGGCAAATTAGGTCCTTGTCCCAGGATGCGACCCACACCAGTCCACTAACACCTAGGTACCCATTATTGGTGAACATAGACAACCGGTGTAAAGAAACACGCCCAATGTTTCTACCCACGCTGGGAATCGAACGCAGACCTTCGCCGTGTGAAGCGAGAGCTTTAGCGATCAGGCCACGGGGCACCAAATTCTCTCGTGATAAGCGGACGGAGGATTGAGCTTTCATCACTCGGGTCAGAAAGTAGTGGTGGTTAGTTGCTGTCAGTGTGACGATACCCACACTGTAAATAACACCTACAAAGAGAAACATCGACCTGTTCAGTGTTGAGGACAGCTTATAACTAATTATACACAAGAGTGCCTGCCTAGCATGAGTCTACTAGCCCATGATAGGTATGTCTAACTCATACTCACCCACAACCTATATTTAAAGCAACCCAAACTTCTCACCTCAGTGTCGCTACCTGAGAGTTCGTTTCACTCTTCTTCAACTCTGTTGCCAAACCATTGCTTTCTTATATGCTTTTCCCTGTGATTATAATAATAATAATAATAATCTTATATACTTTCTAAGTAAACTTATCCGACTTAATCCGTTGCTGCGAATCCTGTCTTTGGTCGATATTTTTAGCACGCTATTTATATTCCCCTTTATTTATTCCTGTTTTCTATTTGTACACTTCAGTTATATCTCCCCAAATTCTACGTCTTTTCAAACAATGCAGGTTCAGTGCCTCCTGCCTGTTGTCGTAGGAAAAGTTTCTGGTACGTCAAGTCAGCTTCGTCATCTTTCTCTGTTTTTTTCCAGAGTATTTATGTTCATTCAGAGCTGAACAGAAGCTGCATAATCTAAACGAGGTCTGACTGGAGATATATAAACTTGAAGTCAATAACAACACTGCTGCTAGCCGGAGGATTTATCCCCGTGGACTAAAACAGCACAGGTTCAATCCTCTGGCTAGCCGAAGTGTTGTTATTGAATAAATACCACTTGTTCATGGTTACAGTAATAAAGCTGAAGTATAACCTGAAGACTTTTGGCATTTATTCTTCTTGATATGAAGCTAAGAATTCTATTGACTTGACTTGAAATTTCCATTAACTAAAACTCCTTCATCTTTTTCACATTCAATTCAGCTAAGATTTACATCATTTAGCTTACAAGGTGCCACTTCTCAGACCAAAACGTCAACCTATTCAGGTCATCTTGTAGTCTTCTGATGTACTCATCAGAAATTATCTGACGACCCATTTCAATGTCATCGGCACAGTTACACTTTTTGGATGGAAGGGCGCAAGTGCATATCATACACTGTGAGGACTTTTTACTGGATATGTGTCGGTCCTGGACATTGGTCACACGTTTGTCAATGTCGTTCTACCTTCTACTTTTACTCATGTTACTGTTTATTCTCTCATCGATGTTGTCTACGTAGATTGTAAACAAGACACCCATCACTGACCCCTGTAGTACACCACTGGTAGCGGCTCCCCATTCTGATTTCTCACCATTAATGTAAGCTCTCTGCTGCCCGTACCTTTGCCAGAGTTATAAATTATAACTTATAATGGGTAGGGTGGGGGGTGGGGGTGAAGCAGATTTGATCCGTTGAATAGGAAGATCCATTTCCTTGAATCACGAGCACTTCACCCTCGTCAAGGAAGACTCTTGAACTTAAACCTATCGTACAAGTACAGGTATGTTAATACCGACAAATTGCGGTAATAAAAAACGTCAAGAAATGTATTGAAGGAAACGTTTCGCCACTTGTGGTTCTATTAATACTAACTGATGACGCCACAGGTGGCGAAAATCTCCTTCAGTAAATGTCTTGATTGCTCGTACGCCCTATTCCCACAGCCTCGAGCAAATTATCGGTGATAGGGAAGGACCTTGCCAGCGAGTCAGGGGACTTGCCACTTCTTGGTGCGACAGATCGATGCCTCGTCAAGCAAGAGGCGGTAGATGAACTGCAGCTCCATCTGTTAGTTTATTCACCAGGGGAAAAAAACACTCAGCTTTGTCATAATCTGATCTGTTCAGTGGTGCCGGCGCTCAGTCAGGGGCCCGGCCTCTGGCAGGAGCCCGGACTTTGGCAGGGGCCCGGACTCTGGCAGGGGCCCGGACTCTAGTAGAGACCCGGACTCTGGCAGGGGCCCGTCAATACGGTGGTGTTGCAAGCCAAAAATCTCAGGACACGTGAAGGTGGAATAAGCAGTGGTTCTGTTTTGGACCATGGCAGAACCATGCTGGAGGACTCAGTGTTCCAAGATCCACCTGGATTAGGGATACGTTAAATATTCTTGTTTTAGGTTAGTTCGATGTTCTCAGTACAAGTTCACTCGGTATATAACCATGTCATTAGATGATATAAGTCACAGTCGATCGTTCTGTCTTTGCTAAGCAGGGATAATATTAACCCTGGTGCA